GTTGCCAGTAAGTTGCTGTAAAATGTACAGCAACCTTTTACAGTATAGTGGTGAGTAGTCAAATCCAGAGTAGTCCAACTACTTAATACTAGTCATTCCCAGATAGATGACTGAGCCTGTGCTCAGGCTCCAAGGTTCACTAACAACTGTGTCTAGGTCTCAAAGGAGAGAAGATGGGATATGAAAAGAAGCATTCCGATGTACTTGTGCAAATGAAGCTACTTTAGTGATTCTGTGTTCTTTTTTGTAAAGGCTGCATATCTGAAAGTCTGACCTGTATATCTGTACTCATTATTTTTTCTTTTCATACTCATTTCACTATTTACTTACAGGAGTCTGGTGTCCCTCTCCAGGCCCAGTCCGCAGCTGGGCTCTGCTCAGTCTGACGTTGTGGGCCTCACCAGTTCAGTGTCAGACTTTGTGCTTGTCGGAACTGGTCTCCTCCGGTTAAATTGCCTCATAGGCCGTCGCCTTTGCTTCTCAGCGGGTCTCCTCAGATCTGATTCGGATCGGGTTTGTCTTTTATCCACCCTGCATCTCACCCCCTGTACTGTAGGTCTCCTTTTTTAATTGACTGGGTGGTTCCCCTACCCAGTCTACTTCTGACGATTCTTCGTCGAAGCTGATCTCCATCATCTTCGGATCCCGAGCTTGCCGTTTCAAACTGGCTGCTCATCCACTCTATACTATCTTCGATGGAACTCACACTCACAAGGCTCACTTCAGCCATGCTCACCCTGTCATTCTCGTCATGCCTTCTGTTCCTCAGTCTTCTCCAGCAACTGAGGAAAGCACACTTCTTTTTTGGGCCCTCATCCTGTTTTGGTCTGGGGCCCTGCGCCTTAGCACAACTCAGTCTGACGTTGTGGGCCTCACCAGTTCAGTGTCAGACTTTGTGCATGTCGGAACTGGTCTCCTCCGATTAAATTGCCTCATAGGCCGTCGCCTTTGCTTCTCAGCGGGTCTCCTCACATCTGATTCAGATCGGGTTTTTCTGTCATCCACCCTGCATCTCACCCGCTGTTGGTCTCCTTTTTTAATTGGCTGGGTGGTTCCCCTACCCAGTCTACTTCTGACGATTCGTCGTCTCAGCTCATCTCGTTCATTTTCGGATCCCGAGCTTGCCGTTTCGAACTGGCTGCTCATCGACTCTATACTTTCGTCGATGGAGTTTTCAGCTGAACTCACACTGGGCAGCTCAAGGCTCACTTCAGCCATGCTCACCCTGTCATCCTGGTCTTGCCTTCTCTTTCTCAGTCTTCTCCAGCAACTGAGGAAAGCACACTTTTTTTTTGGGCCCTCATCCTGTTTTGGTCTGGGGCCCTGCGCCTTAGCACAACTTAAACCCATACTGACTTTCCTTCTCAGAACTAATGNTTTTTTGGGCCCTCATCCTGTTTTGGTCTGGGGCCCTGCGCCTTAGCACAACTTAAACCCATACTGACTTTCCTTCTCAGAACTAATGCAACTAGTGGCTGCTTTGAAATAGTCGCTAAGAATGAAATGTGAAGGTGAAATTGTTCTTTATATAGAAAATCTTCCTTCTGTGACATCAATGACCAGTCAGTGTCATCTGCCATACCGGATTTCTATTCTGTTGTGACACCACAAAGGGCCCTCCATGTAAGGCATCTGTTATTTCATTGTTTCTAGCAGTACTGGGTTGTTTTTAAAATTAAATAATTTAGGAAAAAAACCTCTGTGTCTACGTGTGTGTGTTTTTGCGTGCATGTGTGCGCGAGAGAGACAGCATTATTGGGGAAGGCTAAACTTCTCTCAGGAAAGTCTAATTCCAACTTTTTCACAGAATTACTGGTTTAAAATATTCATTACAACTCAGGAAGCAAAACCTCCCAAATGGCATCCAATTGGGAAAGTTGCCGGTAGCGGTCACTACTGTACAACACTCCTGTACTGTAAATCTAGATACTGCATCGGCGAAAAACTGACCAATGGCAAGGGAGAGAAGTGGCAGTAAAACAGAAAAGTTGCCACTGCAACTTTAGCAGAAAAGGATATTAGCTAGTTAACACAGCGCATTCAAGCCATTTTGCAATCATATTCTGGTAATACAGTAATACACGGTTATATGGTAATGCAACAGTTTAGTTATAAACTGAAAGATGTGGTAACACTGCTTGCAATGCATCCATCCATACAGCGCCCCCCCCCCCAAAAAAAAAAATAAAAATTAATTATGGACTGATTCATAAATAAATAATCAGCCCTACAGACTCCCACAGCACTGAGGACTGAAGGCATCCTTTGTCTTTCTGGGCCTCAGGGGGACTATTTCAGTTCTGTGGTCATTTGGAGTCTGACACTAACCAGCAAACTGAATGTATCAGAAGTTTGAAGTCTTGCAAAGTATCTATACTATTTTCCATCACGTCATTGAACAATGATCATCTGCAATGAAAAATGATTCAAGCAAAGGTTTGTTTCAGAATCAAGAGGAACATTTTATTTCTTAAAATAATCCAAAATAAAGTTGGAAAACTCCTTTACTTCAATGTCTGCATAAAATTACAATGAAAAAAATCAGAATTATAACTGAATGTCTGAGACAACTGAACCCCTTATGTGTCAAAATGAAGACATAGGAATGTGTGCTTAAGGTGCAAGTGAGTCTTGGAGGGTGTGGTTATCTGGATCACATGACTTGTGGAGGTGTGGCTGAGGTCAGAGGTCACAGTGGGCTGTAATTGACCTCTGTGTAAATGTCGAGCAGCTGTCGTCCATCACTTCTGGCCTGCGCCTATGATGCAGTATCACAGATTAATAAGACATTTATGCTGTGTGATGTCATGCAACTCGTCATTTGATGAAAATAGAAATTTGTTGACAGCCAATCAGGCAGTGAGGTACCTGTTTCCCATGTGCACCAGCAGGAAGCCGCTGTCCCTCCTTCACTGTCTTATGACGCTCAGATTTCTTCAAACCTGAGATTAAATATTATTACTATTGACAGATATGACTAATACTTAGCATAGAAGGGTTCAAATAGCAATGCAGTTTTTATCATGGTTTGTCCTGTGTTGTGTTTATGGTTTTATGTGGGGTTATGAATAAATACAGAGGCAGTGTGTTAGTTCAGTTTGATTTGGGACATAAATACAGAGCTGTGTTGAGCACAGCTAACCGAAACGTTAGCTTTGAAAACACTAATCTGATAAACCACAAAACAAATGAGTGGAAACTAATGGTAGCCATTAACTTTTATTCTGTGAATTTTGCTTTGGTTTGATTTGGTTTTGGGCTCTGAAACCCTTAACAACATACATAAAGAGCTGAAATTCTAACTCGGTTAGCAATTTAGTTCCACAGAGCCAGAGTGATTAGCTGGCGATATTTCGGACTGGTGATTATTGGATCCTGTACAATCTCCAGAATAAATTTTCTTTTAAAGATATTCCATTTGCTAGACACAAGCATTTTTGCTGGAGAACTCCTATTCTGCTCATGCTATTTTGCCCTCAGTGAACCCACTTGTGGACTACAAACATGGTGCATTTTACCCAGAACTCTTAAAGAGGGTTTCAGCTCCTTAATAGGCTATAGCTCTGTTAATCAGAACCTGGAAAATAAAGGCAAATAACCAGGGGCCGAAGTAGGATTTCTTGCTTAGCCAGATAACTTGTTGGATTTAAGGTAGTCTGGGAATCTGACAAATCTGACAAGTTACGTGACTAAACAACTAATTAGGGGCAGCATGTAGCTCAGTGGGCTAAGCCTCTGTGCCTGTGTTCAGACTACCTTAAATCTGACAAGTTATCAACCAACCACGTCTTCTGTTTACACGTAGTCAACCAAAAGCGTGCTAGATAGACTGTTGCAGACATGCTCACAACAGACCAGAACAAATATGTGTGATTTTAGGATTTATAAATGTTTTTGACCATTAAAGTTGTCACACCCTGCATTCCTGCCCCCTCGTTCTCTCCCTAGAGTGGCTCTAACAAGCTACACCTGTTGATCATCTATCTTGCCTCTGTTTTCAAGCGTTGTGTGGATCACTCCAGCTGCCCCTCGTCTGCGCCTTTGTTAGTCCAGTATAACAGTGCCTTCTAGTCCTATGCTCCCCAGTCTGGTCATTGATGGTGCCCTAGTGTGAAAGTTTTTGTCCCCCCCCCATTGTCAGTTGTGCGGTCAGCTTGACCCTACACAGTCTGTTTTTGTTTGCCTTGTTCCTGTTTCCTTTTAATAAACCCCTTATTGTTTGTTCTCACTCCTGTTCCTGCCTCCTTCATTATCGGAACATCATAAAAGTTTATTTACTTTGCTTGAATTTTATTTTTATTTTTTTACCACATTTACGGGTAGCGGAAAACAATTTACAGGTAACAAAATTTAGAGGAAGCTAGGTGGTCTACTAGGGTTTTTTTTACTGCTCATTTATGGTTAGCAGATTAGCGGAATCTTGCCCACCACTGACACGGATAGACAGCAGCCCAATGTGGGTGACTGTGTGACTATAGGCCTGTCAGGCAGCTGCAGCAGCCACAGAGAAAATGGCCTCTGTAACTGTGAAAGGCTGCATACAGTCACTCAGCTACAGTCACTCAGCTACAGTCACTCAGCTACAGTCACATCACTCCCCACAGGAGGGTGTGAAATTTACAGCAGGGGGCGTGGCGGTGACTTACCCTTTTTATATCCACGCATGTACATGAAGAGAGAGAAGGGAAGGCAGAGCAGAGCACAAATTGCAGTGATGATGATCACCGGTATCCATGCATAATTCACATACATGTACCTGTACATTTTTCCTGGTGTGGAAACACAGGGAGGCATGATGGTTTATTTGGGGCCATTCAGAGGGCAGGCGGCAGAAGCATATTAACCTTCACTGCTTTAACACACACACACACACACCATACTATAAAATGGCAACAGGGATCACTGGGGGGCGCTGTTTAGCTGCACAGTTGAGTGGGAGAGGCAGGATTAAGATGCATGTGGACACTGGGACGCAATACTATGACGTGATTTTGACGACGTCTCAGTGAAGCTCCAGGGTCTTAGAAATGGCTACTGAACCTTTTCCAGACTAATATATAAAAACGAGCTTGGTGTTCAGGAAATGATTTTTATCACAGCACGATCCATGTGCTGACAACAGTATCTGACTAGTTATTGAGATCTTCACTGCATGTTGCAGGTCCAAATCAGTCCAAAATATTCAAGTGAATCTAATGATCTGTATAATAGGATTTTCTTAACTTTGGAGTTCAATAAATGTTTTTATTAGCAGATTTCACCTTTGATTACCATGCAAACAAACTAATGAACGAAACACCAGATTAACTGCAATGTAATATTCTACTAGCAACCACAAAAAGGTCTGGCCAAATGTAAAATGTTCTGTGTAAAATGTTCCTGCCCATCTCTTCCCTGACCAGCCACACCTGCTACTCATTGATCCCTCTTGTCTTGCCTCTTGTTCCTAACCCTCATTTTGAAATCACTCCCAGGTGCCTCTCGTTAGCT